AGTACTAAGGACCAACACAAACCTTGAAGTACTTTTCTCCTCTTCTATAATATTGGTTCAGACTTTTCTAATATATAATGACATTAGTTTTGGAAATTTCTGCCTTCTTTTCTGGACTTTAATTCTGTTGAAGTTGATCTGTGGATTAACTGTTCACTCATTCTCTAATAGTTTCAAAAATGCCTGGAAATTAATGAATACTAAATGCATGTTTGTTAATCAAGTCATTTGTTTTTAAGGTGGAGGAACTAAGGCCCTGACAAATTGATGAAACTTTTCTGTGGCTCAAAGAACTACTTGGCAGGAAAACCTAATGAAGCCCTGGAGCTTCCAGTAAAAACCTTTCATTGTTTATTTACTACTTTTTATTTGAAATTTGCCTTGCTACCTTAACTTGCCCTTGAGGACAGGGACCACATATTGAAATTCTAGAACACAGTCTTAGTTCCTCCGTATCCCAAACTCCAGTCCCAATGCCTGGCACTGGAGCATACTGTTCTAAAAACTGCATTGTTGAAAAATGCTTTATGAAAATTCTCGGCAATGTGGCATAGTGGGTTAAGCTGCCACCTGCCATGCTGGCATCCCACATGAGAGATGCCCTGAGCTCTGGCTGCTCCACTTCTGATCCAGCTCCCTGCTAATGCACCTGGGAAAGCAGCAGAAGATTGCCTACACTCATGTGGGAGATCTGGATGGAGGCCATATGGGAAATAAACCAACTGATAGAAAAGATAGCTCCCCCCTCCCCTCTCTCTTGCTATTACTTTGCCTTTCAAATGAATAAATCTTTTAAAATAAAAAAGCTTTAACAAAAAAATTCTTTATGGTAAATCACAACAACTCTGATAAATTGTCCACCCACCATTTTTTTCTTGCCCCAAATCTCTGTCTCATATCAATCTCAGGGTTACGTACAGGGTACAGGGTAATAATTTCTGCATATTCTTTGGAAGCATTCAAAAGAATATCTGTGCCCTTAATTTCACACTTTATAGCTCTCAGCTCCTGGAAATTTCGTAAGATAAAACTTTTGCAGTAAATGTGGCAATATATACCACACAGAGAAGACAACAAAATAAAAACGTGAACATAAGGAACAAAGTCAATCACATAGATCTGCTAAATTTGATATTACATATAAAATCATCCATTTTCCTTTATTACACATAATACCTTTAAGAATATTATTATCCTGAAGTGCTAATCCTTACCCAGTGCCTTCAGGCCTTCTGTGGTCCTCTGCAGAAGCAACTCTCTCTGGCAGTGTGCAGTAGTGACACCAGTAAGCAACAGCCTAAAACTGATAAACATGAGTCCTTCAGCCCTTAGCCAGGGAAACAATAGCTTTCACACATATGTAATTAATGGACTGTTCAATAAGTGCTCTGAGAGCCCCAAGCAAGGATTTCAGTCTATATGCCCAAGTGTCCCTGCAATGTAGGAAAAGCACAGATGGAGGAGAGAACCAAGATAAAGCCATGAAGATCTCCAATTCAACAAGGAGCTTAGTACATGGTAATCACATTAACTTGTCCAAATCAAACCCTTAGACTTACCTGCCCTTGGAAATCTGCTTAGGCCTAGGCAAAAATTGTACACATTTGTGCACAAAGCAAAGTCTTAATGCAGGGGGTGGGAAAACAATATAAAAAGAACAAACACTTATGGCCAGCACTCCATGTTTGCTTATAGGGTATTGAATGTAAAATTTACTTCTTGCTTCTGAGAATTGTTTTGCAGCAATAAAGCTTTCTAAAACCTCATGTACCTAATTCAAAACTTTTAAAATTTATGTTATAAAATTTATTGTAGTGTCCTAATAAATCAGCACTTGCTAGTAGCAAATTATCAGAATGTGCTGTATATTAAAAAGATAAATCAGAATTGAATAAGAAAGAGAGAAGGTGTTTTCAAATCAGACCGCCAAAGCACTAACTAATGGGAACATTTGTAAACTCAAGAATGATTTACCATAGGGCTCTTGGTGAGAGTGTGTAAATCCAGCAGAAGATTTTACATCTATCAGCTGGGACCTTTGGTCCATTTGTCGCTCCCCCTCTTCGTGGAGGAACGACACTAAACCCTGCCTAGGCTTCATATCCGAGTCACGGCACCATTATGTCGCTCCCCCTCTTCGTGGAGGAGCAACACTGAACCCTGCGCTGTTCTTTCGTCTGCTCGGCCCTCCCCGGGTTTGCTGCTGGTTCTTCCCGGGTTGGCTACTATCCCTTCCACCTCCGTGGAAGGGCAGTTCCCCCTGGCCGCATTCCCCACTTCCGCAGGGGAGCGGCACACCGCCGGCCGGGTCTCTCGGGGGCTGCACGGGTTCCCTTAGATGTTCCCCATAGATGTTCCTGGTGCATGCCGTCTCTCTCCTCCTTTATAGTCCTCCTCCGCCAATCCCAACTCGGCTGAGTACGCTGCTCTCCAATCAGGAGCAAGTCCTACAGTTAATTGGTTGAACTGGAGGCAGCTGTGCGGAAGCTGTTTACTTCTCTCCCAGCGCCATATTGTGGGAGAGCAGATGCATAGAATAAGTCCTAATTCGAGTAACTTAGTCCAGTCCGGATTGCTCCCCACAGATCCCCCTTTCTTTTTATTTTTTAGCGTTGATACGCGCCTGTCTTCGGTGTCCCGCGGAACACACTCTGCTCTACTTGCTAGCGTTGCCACAGGCTCTTACAAGTCCTATCAATCAGGAAAACCGAATCCGGGTCCTCTCTTCGCCATTGTGAGGAGGTTTTTAGGCGCTGATGCATGCCTGTGTTCGGTGCCCTGCAGCGCATGCTCTGCTCTGCCCGCAGGGGCTTACAAAACCTATCAGGCAAACCGAATCCAAGCCTTCTCATTGCCTTATTGTGGGGGAGACTTATTAGTGTTGGTTCGTGCCTATCTTCGGTGACCTGCAGCTCATACTCTGGTCGAGCTTTGCTGGCGCTTACCGCCTTAAATCAGGCAGACCGAATCCAAGCCTTCTAATTGGCATGTTGAGGGGAGGCCTTATTTTTCTCTATTTCTCTATCTCCGGGCATTCCTACCTCTCCCATTTCACTTCTATCTTCCAGCATTCCCATTTCTCTTTTACTTCACTTCCAAACTTCTGTTTCTCTTATCCCTGCGGCTTTCCGGCACCTCGCCCCGCCGGCGGGTTCCCGGCTCTGCGCCGCTTCAGCCCGCGCGCCTCTCTGCGCGGCTTCCCGGCTTTGCGCGGTCCGCGGTCTCCACGCTTAACCCTTTCGCGTCTGAACCACGGCCTACGCCAGCGTTCCCTATCTATTCACGCCCCGTGCTCTCTCTGCACGCGGCGGCTTCCGCGAGTAACACAGCGTAGCTTGCGTCTCCGCCACTAGGATTCAATCTAAGTTCCCCGGGCTAGCCTGGCGAATTCAACCCAGCGTACGTCTCCGCCCCACGATCTGGCTTCCCGTCCTTTGCTCCCCGGGCTAATCAGACGGATCCCAATCTGGCTTGCGTCTCAGCTTCTGGTTTTAACTTTTCGCCCCCTATTCCCGGGCTAACTTGAGAATCCCAAAGTGGCTTTCGTTTCCGCCTTGGCCTGCCCCCCGCGGCTTCAATTTCCCTAACATTTTTCTCTACCCGGTATGTTTCCCCAAGCTTTCCTCCAACGATATTCCTCCCTCATTTCTCCTGGCCTCTCCCCACAGTCCGCGTCCGAGTCTGTTTGTTCTAGCTTTCACTTTCGCTTTCGACCTTAGAGATTTCTCCCAGCTTCCCCCCGTAGTCCGTATCCGAATCTATGCCTAGGCTTTCAATAGCTTCTTCCGGCTCCTTTTTCGTCCGGCTTTTCCCTAGGCTGTTTGCTAGTCTCTCTCTCCGGTATTTTCCCAGTTCTTCCCGTTTCTTCCCTCCTAAGTTTTTTATCCGTCCTAGGTTTCCTATCCGAGTCACGTTTCTTCCCTCCTAAGTTTTCTATCCGTCCTAGGTTTCCTATCCGAGCTAGGTTTCCTATCCGAGTCACGGCACCATTATGTCGCTCCCCCTCTTCGTGGAGGAACGACACTAAACCCTGCCTAGGCTTCATATCCGAGTCACGGCACCATTATGTCGCTCCCCCTCTTCGTGGAGGAGCAACACTGAACCCTGCGCTGTTCTTTCGTCTGCTCGGCCCTCCCCGGGTTTGCTGCTGGTTCTTCCCGGGTTGGCTACTATCCCTTCCACCTCCGTGGAAGGGCAGTTCCCCCTGGCCGCATTCCCCACTTCCGCAGGGGAGCGGCACACCGCCGGCCGGGTCTCTCGGGGGCTGCACGGGTTCCCTTAGATGTTCCCCATAGATGTTCCTGGTGCATGCCGTCTCTCTCCTCCTTTATAGTCCTCCTCCGCCAATCCCAACTCGGCTGAGTACGCTGCTCTCCAATCAGGAGCAAGTCCTACAGTTAATTGGTTGAACTGGAGGCAGCTGTGCGGAAGCTGTTTACTTCTCTCCCAGCGCCATATTGTGGGAGAGCAGATGCATAGAATAAGTCCTAATTCGAGTAACTTAGTCCAGTCCGGATTGCTCCCCACACCATTGTTTATAAATCAAGAAGTTAATGAAGAGTCAGGGGTCTGTAAATCCAGGCAGTAAATTAGAAGCCTGTAACTTCTGATTTACAAATTCAGAATTGCATGTGTCACTGAACATAACAATAGAGCACATCCAAAATCACCTGAAGACTGGTATGTGCAAATCACAGTTGGAAATAAAAAGATCGCATGTTTACACTACCTACCAGTACCGACTTAGCCAATTCTACAATTGTGCATTTTATAAGACCATAACAGAGATGTGCCAAGCAGAAGGCCTGCACTTAGCATCTTCAGGGAACAAATTAGCTCGTTCTTATTCAGTTACTTTTAATGAGGAATAATCTATTTAAATACAGCATTTACAGCACAGTTTTTGGCTCACCCATAAAAGGGCCTTACAGCAAATGACAATCTGAAAAGACTCCATCTAGTCACAGACATGAAGTTCGAAGATGGTCCCTTTCCCTCAGGATACATAAAAGCCTCCTCCCTGAAAGGTCCCGTGAGAGGACAACTCCGGGGTGGGGCTCCTTGCTGCTCCATTGCCACAACAGGACCCAAGTCAAGCCCTCGCCATTTCAGGAGCACCATGTGCAAGCCCCATGTGGTCATCTCACTCATGCCACAGCCTGTGACACTGGTGGAGATGATGGGCTGGAGGGACCCTCACTTGACCTCCTGTTTGGTTTCCCCAAATCTCTCCTGAATGGACGGGGAGACTTGCACCACAAGAGAACTCGAGTAGAACTAAAAGAAATTAAAGAGAGAAGGGCTAACATGTCCCAAGAGGTGACTGACTCAGAGGAATTACAAGAAATTAACAAGCGTAGAGCTAACAAATCCCAGCAGGTGACTGACTCAGAGCAGGTTAAATGTGGCTTGTCTGCCTTTCCCTGCCTCCACTTCAGAAACAGACACCATGGTTACGTCATGTTCCTGGGAACTCTCGCTGTGGAAGGACTGGGCTCAAATGAGGCTTTGGGGAGACCCAGGCTACGAAAGCCCCCCACCGCACCCCACCCAGTGCTCGGGAATCAAGCACACTGATTCTCCTGGCTACTCTGGGGCCGAGTGAGACGCCCTGCCTCCCCATTTCAGCTGCAGCATTCCTGCCTTAGGTCATCTTCTCTGAGTGACAGTCCCTCATGCTCCAGACCTGAACAGGTGCCAACCTGTCATCCACGCATGTGTCAGGATCCTTAAATGTTAGTAGGGGCCTTCAGGTACTCTCCCTTTAGGGAGATAACCACGTGGGTATTTATCCAGGAGGTGGGGGGTTAATAAGCTAAGGGTAGGCTGGGGGCAATTTAAGTGGCAGGTATTTGGGAACAGGGACATCGGTCCCGGAATCACCTTCATGATACCTCACAGGCCACTGCTTCCTGCCCTGACTAGACCGGGGTTAAATAAGATCATAGCAGCCCAATGCACGGTAATCAATAAGGACTTGAATAGAAAGCATCTGCCTGTCTTCCTCCTCTGTATTTTCTGACTCATGGATAGGGACACCTTGGACTCCCCCACGTGCCTCCTGCAAGAGAACTGGAATCATCGATCTGAAAGTAGACACGGTCTCCTGGGAGGAGCAAGACAAAGAAGAGCCCAGGTCTTATCTTGTGGACTCATTCTGCACCGTGACTTCATGGCATGTCCCTTGTTCTCCGTCACTTCAACGGACCTTGCTGCACACCTTCCCCAGATTTGCGTTTATGGACTGAACACCTGCATTGATTCCCTGCCTCCAGTTTGGCATCCGTGCTGCTCTTCACAGCAGGATGTTCTTTGGGGAAACCACGTGAAGATCTAAATGTCACTTGGGTCCTCATCTCCGACTACATCTAGAACCCCTTGACCTAGGATAACGTGCAGGTCCTTGGGAGGGTCTGCACATAGAGGCCACTTAATATTACTTGGCAAATATTAGTAATACAGGCTTAAAGACACAGTATACTTTGCCATTTGAGGAATTTTTTGTTACAATGTTATAAAACAAATTCATTTTAGAAATTAATTGGATGAAATAAAAGCACAGATCCTAAAACCTGAAGTTTGAAGGTAACATTCTTTCTTCATTTGCTGTTTATTCTCAAGATTACTAAACATCAGGCCTGAAGATATATCTTATGTGGCATTTTACAATTATTGTATCATTTCTGCATTCTACCTGGGACTTTAGAGTCCCGGGTATTTCAGTAAATTATTGCAGAAGCAACAAAGTGGAAAATCAGAGCAAATAGTTCTGCAAGTTAGGTACGGAAAATCCTCTATTGCACTTCTGATATACCACAGTCAGGTCCAATATAAGCAAACAAAACCTGTGAGATTATATAGCATGGTATTTTGTTTCATAATCACTTAAATGTTGTCTAAAAATAAAGGAGCCATTAGTCAAGAGACACACACACACTTCTTAATACATATAAATATATTGATTCTTATAAAGAATAAAATCGGGGCTAGCATTGTGGTACAGTGCATTAAGCTGCTGCCTGCAATGCCAGCATCCCAAATACAAGCACTGGTTTGTATATCAGCTGTTCTTCTTCTTATAAGGCTCTCTACTGTGGCCTGGGAAAGCAGTAGAAGATCGCCCAAGTTCTTGGGTCCCTGCATCCATGTGGGAGATGCAGAAGAAGCTCCTGGATCCAGGCTTCGGTCTGGCCCAGCACCAGCTGTTTTGGTAATTTGGGAGTTGAAGAAACAGATGGAAGATCTCTCTATATCTCTGTCTTGCCCTTTGTAACTCTACCTTTCAAATAAATAAATAAATCTTATTTAAAAAAAAAAACAAATAAAATTAGGAATTTCTAATTCTCATGCTTTCACTAGCAATGTGAAATAAAATAATGCTAATTTAAAGTTCCAACTATTTCCCGTTGTAAGTTCATAAACCCTAAACGTGTTACTCAAGTTAAAGTTTTTCTAATATCACCTGTTTTAAGACAACTAGCAAAACTATGTTACCAATATAATTTCATTCTTTCAAAAAATATAGCCCTAATTGCTAAATCACAAAGTTCAAGCAGCAGCCAAATAAAGAGCAATGTTTTCCATCTATGGTAGAGAAACTGGCTGATAGGTGAGTGGGCTACTACATCAGCAGACTGTCAGGGAACATTTGTGAATAGAAGTGGAAATAAATGCTGTTTAAATGAATAAAGAACCAAACAAATATATAGTAGCTAGAATCTGTCACTTTGCAACTCAACCAAAACATGATTTGGGGTCGGCCAAGATCTACTGATACCCTTCTTTGCTCCCTTTTGTACCCAAGGAGACTGGGAACTGCACTGTGCATCACAGGGATCCTCTGCCTCTGGCTGCTGCTGGGTTTCACAAATGGAAGTTGCTTCAGGAAGTTGGAGGTAGTGAGGAGGAGGGTAGGAGGATAGCAAGGCCTTGGAATTTACTCTTCTCTCCTCTTCCTGGCTGGAGTTCTCCCCAGACACAGCTCCTGTCTGCGATGCCTCCTACAGGATTCCCACCTAACACCCAACAGCTACCAAAACAGCTCTCCCCATCAAGAATAGTAAAGGCTTCTGTTGTTTCAGCTTCCTCAGTGCTTCAGTATTCCCTATGGGCAACCCTAAATCTGCCCACACCTTCATAAACACTCCTAAATTGATAAACGCTGCCTAAGGGATCATCTTGTCAATCACGTCCCTGTCTTTTAAAAGATGAAATTAGTTAAATGTCAGATTTCTCAAAATTAGGGTTAGGATTTGAATTTGCATCCTCAGCAATGCCCTTCTTGTTGAAGCCATTTGGAAAGAAGAAATGGGGTACTAACTATTGGTGTAGCTACACCCTCTGGATGTAGAGACACGCACTCTTCTCAAAGGAAAGCACTCAGGCACAATTCATGCTTCTTCTGGCAAGGGTCAACTCAAATTGCACCTTCTCTTTGAAACTCTCCTGCGATTGAGCCCACCAAAGTTAAATTACTCTGAAGTTTATTGCGTATGATACTGTTGTAAAGATTAAGTGAGATGATGCATGTTGGAATGTTTTGCAGTGAGTGACAGATTTACAGTATTATTAATAAGAATCCTCAGTTTAAGATAAGAATCCTTGCCTCCTTAGAGATAGGGTCTGTTTAGACCCACCCTACTATCCTGACTTGAACTTTCTGACCTTTCTTCACAGGGCTCAAATGATGGGGCTCTATGAAAAAAGAGTAAATAAGCATAAATTTGCATGAAAATTTTGGCTTCAGGGTCTGTTTTCATCTAGGTTTACACATTGTGTCCACAGTCTATGATAGCTAAATTTCCATTTCATAAAAAATAAGGATTACAGATGGTCTCAATGAACTCTGAAAGAGTCCATCTAGGAGACAGGACAGAGCCTTTCTGGCTATTGAATTCCCACAATGTAACTAGAACCTGAATTATCTCATGTTGGATGGATTACATCATCTCCAGTAGGATCTTGACAAACCTCCAATGAAACAGCACCAATATAAAATGAGGATTTATGAATTCATATTTTTCTGAGGAATCACTCAACTCAGAACTGGAAGAGTGGGTTCTAAGAAGGGAAAAAAGACCTTTCCCTGAGCTATACTACAAAAGCAGCCAGTGAATACTTAGAAACTCAGTTTCACAAAGAGTGTATGGCTTTCAAATCCTGAGAGAGGTGGCAGGATCTCTCAGACCAATAAAACTATCACCAACAGTTGGGCATCCACTTTTCCATTACAGTTGAGAATACTGAAACAACTTAGAGAAACAGTTTAAACACTGAAGAATGAAACCCCTTGTTCACTAAAGTTAAATTTCTCCTATACAGTCTCATGAAGAAATATAGGCTTTAGAAGCTGTCAAATTGTTATCCCCAACTTGCCCCCCAGGAATTCAGTGAATAGATACACTGAGCAGTGTGTGGCTACAGAATCATCTGCAAGGTGCTTTCAGGAACAAATTTCTTTAAGACTCAGTTCTTTCTCTTAAGTACCTGCCAATATCCACAGAAACATCTCAGTGCCATTCTACAGAGACATCTCTGTTAGACAATTTACAGAGTAAATATAGTTACTGCCTGCAATGTAAGAACAAACAGGATGTGCTCAGCTGCTACAAGCAACTGGACAAACAAGTACACCATGACCCATGGGGGAAATCTGTCTGTTTTCATATATATAAATCTGTGACAATGTCAGCATGTTTGAAAGAAAGCTGCTAGGTATGTTCAGGTACTTTATTTACAAGATCTAAAAAAAAGCACACTTTATTTTTATTTAAGACCATACACATGCAACATTGACTCTGAGCTGAATAAAGGTGTGGAACAGTTCAGTTCAGATGTGGACTTTTAGGGAGTCAATCTTCATTTAATCTGTTTTGCTGGAAAGTTCAAGTGCTACAGTAGAGTTCTCTGAAGTTAGGCAAGAGGCACTAGTCATTGAAATAGAGACGTTAGGTTATAAGTTAAGAAAATATTTGCCTTTGGAGTAGCAAAGATCAGGCAAATTTTATAGGCTGTTGGGAGAAGCCTATCAAGGACCATTTGGCCATTTGTTTGCAAGCCATATGGTAACCTTTTATCATTTGCAGAAGGGTGAAGTCAGGGACCTCAGCAGCCCACCACACTAACTAATTCGTCCCAGGAACTTGACAGCATCACAATGTGTCTGATATTACGGGCCTAAACTGAAATCACCAAATCTAAAAGTGCTTCATAAAGAGCTTACCCTGCAGGCTTTAAAGTCAGAAGGCACTGTTGCATATACACCTTGGATGCCACCACTAGTTTTTTGATTGGCAGTGAGATCCTGAGAGGGCTGTTTAAACCCTGACTGTATCTCTCCTCAGCCTTCCTTGTAGATTACTGCCCTTCTGCACACATCTGCTATTGCACTTGGAAAGTGACACTATGACTCTGGTTATGAATTTCAGTTCTTTGGGTGAATGTGTCTTTAACCATTATTGAGATTAAACATTCTCAACATAATATTTAGCACATAAAAATGAAATATCTATGGAAGGAAGAAAGACAGTAAAGAAAGGAGGAAAGGGGCAATTACATAATTGTAAGTAATAACAAAC